TTTGTTTGTTTGTTTGGTTTGTCGGTTGGACGGTTGGTCGGTTGGTCACCGGGTTGGTCGGTTGGTTGGTTGGTTGGTTTGTGTGTTGGTCTGTTGGTTGGTTGGTTGGTTGAAGCACAAAAAATAAATCTTAAACAAAATGATTTTCATTAAGTTACAATCAGTAAGTTTCATAGATATTTTCACAGTCGATTTCATCTTACTTATGGTCTATTGCTGATAGAGCAACGATAGGCAAAATTTCCATTATCATTTTTTTCGTGAAACCATGAAACCTCATTGTATTTTTTAGTGTTTGAGACCGGGGTTTGAGAATTAGTCAATTAACGCAATGTTATCAAGTGGCCTTCAAGCAAGGATAYACTTGTGCTTTTTATTTCTACAGACAATTTGTGGTTTTCAACGGAAAAGCAGCAGTGTATATAATGCAGTTTGAATTAAGTTAATTGAACTCTTGTTACAAGCGYCATTTCAGCTTTTATTCATGAAACCAGGAAATACTCATGGTATCTTTTTTGGAGAATTAGTCAATAGACTCAAGGTGTTGCAATGTTGTCAAGTGTCCTTCAACCAAGGATACTTGTGCTTTTAATTTATACAGACAATATCACAATTTTTATTGTGACCAACTAATCAATTGCTCTCGAGAAAATGAAAGGAAGGTAGAAGAGAGTTTAATTTTGTAAAAAAATGTATGTATATAACGAGAGCTTTCACTGAGCTTTCCTTATATGATTATATGTAGCAAGTACAGCGAAGGTGTTGCAGCTGTTCGGAAAAGATAGTGCATTTTTAACGTAAATTTATCAGGCATTTGATACTGCTGATATAGCTATGAATAAGACTGCTGTAACGATTCAGATAAGTGATACCATGCAAGTGATTTGGTGCGTACTTTTAGGCATAGAAAGTTCTTTGATAATTACTTCTAACATTATAGCTATTGCTATTTTTCTGAAGAAACAGTTTCTCATCTCCAATTCGTGCTACTTAATCATTAATCTGACAGTTGCTGATGTTCTTGTTGGCGTTTCTGTCTTTCTTTCTTTGATGGAGATTTGGAACGACAAAGAAAACCTGTTCATTACCTGTAGAGAAAACCTTCTAAATGAGATCTCGAGCAACTTCTCGAATTTTACGCTTTTAGCTTCGCTGACTTCCCTAGCGATGATGGCTTTTGAAAGGGCTTTATCAATCGTTGTACCACTCAAATTTCGCCTTGTGTACAGCAGACATTACTTTTATGCAATGTCATGCTCGTGGGGATTATCTTTTTTGATATTTCTGCGACATTTGTCTTGTTCCAGTGAGGCTATTAATTTTTACATGACTTTTGTCACATTAATATCGGTCTTGATGATTATCATCTCATACGCTACGATAGTATTGAAGAGAGTCTTTTTTCCGGACATCGACATTAGTATTGCCATGAAAAACAATTTGAAACTAACCAAAACTTTGATGTTGACAACCTTGGTGGCAGTTGTTACATGGGTACCATCTTTTATCATGTTGAATATGACAGGGARAGGTTACTTCTCTCACAACACGGGTGTGGTGTTCGTGTTGMTAGTATACAGCAACTCGTTTGCAAATCTATTAGTGTACACAATTCGCATGCGACAGTTTCGTCGAGAATTATTCAAGATAATWAGGTGCAAGAAAACCAATAAAGTGGGTACTCTACAAACTTCTACCGAAATTCGAACAGCAAGGACAAACATCCAAGATTTTGAAAAGAGGTCAACTGCAAACAAGATACGGCAAAATGTAACTCAAGGTGGCCCTAATATAGCTTAGTCAGTTATRGCAATTGTTATCGGCCTCAGTCCTAGTTTTCTTTCTAACATTTTAGTTTTCATTTGAAAAATGTCTCGGAGAGACGCTAATATGAGTGATATGCGGCCATTTTGGTATGGGATAAGTACATAAAGGTATTTTCTGCATGTACTATTATTCATTTCATAAAGAATTTAAATTGTTAATAGATAAATATTAAAAAGATGTACTTGACGCAAACGTCAAAAAAGTATATATTATCTGTTATTTTTTTGTAACGTGACTATTATCAAAGTATAAAGCAAAGATGTTGGATCAGAAAGGTTCGTGTATCAATAATCCAGTTTCGAATTCTCCAATGCTCTGTGTTAGCCTCATTTGTGCGCAAAATATTTTACGATGAATTCTTTCGTAATCAGAGCCCGTTTTTGACCAGATTACATCAATAGTTCTCGAATACCAATTTGGCAATGTGGAGGCATTATCGGAGGAGCAGAAAGTAGCATTGTTTAACCGGCTTGATCAACAGGAAAGATGTGTTCGCCATTTTGCCGACTGGGCAGTGGAAAGTCTCCGCATAGCTATATTCACGATCAGATAGTTGTCGAATTATTTTTGCATGGGTTTCGTCCTTTATCGGTCTTTTCTTCACATCTGAAGAATAAATACAAACGGACCTGGTAGAAAGATCAAATAGAATTATTGTTACTGAAGACGACAAAAACAATAGCGAAAAGAGAAAATATCAAACCTCTGGGACCAGGGTAGGAGGGTAGAGTCTCGTTTTCCGGCACCTAATTCTGCCTTGATCTAAAAGTTTGAATTTGGACACCTAATTTATTCTCGCCGTCTCAAAATATCCCTAAAAGATTATTAGTCACCCCTAAAACAGCTTTTCTAAAAGAAGTTTCACTTTCACGGCAAATAGCAAATATTCCGGGATATTCTTAACGGAATTTAATTTTGTCCATTCTTCATCGCATGGATTAAAGTGTTATATAAACCTATTAAGCTGCGTAATAATTATAAATGACGGCATGGCCTCACCTTTTTTCAATATCTCTAAGGGTGTACGGCAGGGCGATCCTCTCTCCCCTTCACTATTTATACTTGTGCAGGAAACCGTCCTAGCACATATTAGGAACAACAAAGAAATTATAGGTCTATCCCTAGGAGATGAAGAAATTAAAACAGTCACCTTTGCTGACGACCTAACTGTCATTGTCAGGGACGTGAATAGCTTTCACGAAGTAATGAGGACTGTCATGTTTTTTCCCCTCTCTGGTCTCAAAATAAACTCGGACAAGACAGAGGTTCTTTGTCTGCRATCAGCAAATTTTTCACCCGAGGATTTACTAATTGAAGAAATTAAGACAACCGTTAAGATACTGRGTATTCATTTCACTTATAATAATATTCTTTTAAAAAAAACTCAATTTTGAAACTATTTTGGACAAGCTTAAAAGACCGTTCCAGGCTATGGAAATGGAGAGGCATAGCCTTATCAGGAAAAATACAAATTATTAAATCGTTTGCCATCCCTAAAATCCTTTACTGCGCATCCCTAAAATCCTTTACTGCGCATCCCTAAAATCCTTTACTGCGCATCCCTAAAATCCTTTACTGCGCATCCCTAAAATCCTTTACTGCGCATCCCTAAAATCCTTTACTGCGCATCCCTAAAATCCTTTACTGCGCATCCCTAAAATCCTTTACTGCGCATCCCTAAAATCCTTTACTGCGCATCCCTAAAATCCTTTACTGCGCATCCCTAAAATCCTTTACTGCGCATCCCTAAAATCCTTTACTGCGCATCCCTAAAATCCTTTACTGCGCATCCCTAAAATCCTTTACTGCGCATCCCTAAAATCCTTTNGATTAAATGTTGCCTTTTGAGCAGTAGACTATCGAATTCTTCTTTAGAACTTTGTACATGCGCGCGCTGAATGATGGGATGGTGCCTTCATTGAATCCACTAGGCCTTCCTCGTGCACGCGCGGCGATCGCCTGGTAGCCAATCACAGCGCGCGAATTACTTCCCGTACGGCCCTCCCACTCAGTCAATAMGTACATAATTAATATCGTGAAAGGGAAGTCATGTTTTTAGAGCGCTTATTGATGCCTTAGAGGCTTTCAATGTAGTGTGGRGGTGTGAGACCTTTTTTGGTTTTTGTTTTTCCTTTCTACTTGACTTTAGTGTTTTGCACAGTTTTTTCGTGAATTTATCTGTGCTATTTCAGAAGCTCGTCAAAATCGCTTTTGAGGCAGCAAGAATCTTTTCCGTAGAGTTTTCTCCTGAATTTTTTCTGGTCACAAGACATTTGACTAAATGCTATGACATTCTACGTTCGGGTGGACTGGCACTTTTTAACGATGCTTTCTTATTCTTATTTCCTATTCTTCCTGATATATAATTTAATCTACCAGCTAATAAAACAACATAACAAATTTGCAATTTATCTATATTTATCATACACTATATTTATCATATACAGACATTTGCTAAAATTAACATGTCATTATATTTTCACCTTTTTCTCGCTAAACCAGATCTAAAATCATTATATGCAAATACTTTTAGATTGTTATCTTTGAATTATCAACTACCCTACATATAGAGGATATCGGTATTACATGGGCGCGCTGAGATACGGATTTTATCTTCGAGTGTTGAAAAGATCTCTCACGAGTGAGCGTAGCGATTTTCAACACGAGAAGATAAAATTCGTATCTCCAAGCGACCATGTAATATTCTGTTTATCATAAATTAAATATGAAAGCAAATTATGTAGTAAAATACCTAATTTATTACTTCTTACTATAAGGAGAAACCTCGAATGTGTTATTTTTATATCAATTTTACGTAATGGAGAAATATAGGTATTTCATAATTATATGATAAATTGATATATTCATGTAAGTTAGCGGCCAGAGTATCTTCAATTGACACTAGCATACATAGATATGTAATCATAGGGTAGCTGATATTTGAATATTAAACCTTCTATCTAATTTGATATGCATAAGTTTTGAAGACTTTTTTTCATTTTGCAATCCTATTTGGGAATAATAAAATATCGAAAATCGCACGAAATTACCCATGATGCACCCGAGATAATGATATAATTTTATAAATCACTCTAAATGTCAAGTTGAAAAAAGAATACATCACTCTCAAATTTCCAGATACAGAATCTAGACTGCCACACAGCAACGTTGTCATGAGATTTCATGAAGTTTCCTAAGATATGATTTCGGAATCGATGACATAGGGACACTACGTATCTTTGATAAAAACACCTGGTTAACCGCGCTTTCACCCTGAAGAATCTACTTGAATTAGTCTCTTGCATGAGATATAGCACTGAATAGATTTTGACAAAATGAAGTATCGACCAAGAGCGGCGTACTCTTAACAAAAGCGTTCTTAGACGAARAAAAGKGTCTTTTATAGGACTAAGCGGATATCAAAAAGAGTTATCCTTGACGAAATGATAGAGAAGCTACCTTGGCACTACTCAATTCACAAGTCGAAGGATCCGCACTGCATTCGCTATATGTAAGCTAAGCTGTCACAAGACCAGKTTTTTCACTGTTTTTTTACATAAGATTTAAAAAAAGAACAGATCTGTGAATGCCATTTTGTGGCAACACATGGACAACGACATGCAAGTAGTTGTTTGGTGCATACTTTTTACCACCGAATCGTTCCTGATAATTACCACTAACATTATGGCAATTACTGTATTTGCAAAGAAGAAATTCCTCATCTCCAAATCGAGCTACTTAATCATCAATTTGACTATCGCCGATGTTCTTGTTGGTATTTCTGCCTTCGTTACAATGATGGAGATATGGCACGCAAAAGACAATCTGTTCACTAGTCACAAGGAAAACTTTTTGTCGGAAATCTCAGAAACCTCTTCGAATTTCACGCTTTTAGCTTCTTTGACTACCTTAGCGATGATGGCTTTTGAAAGGGTTCTTGCAATAGTTATCCCACTTCGATTCCGCCGTATATGCAGCAAGCATTATTTCTATGCAATATCATGTTCATGGTGTGTGTCTCTGTTGATTTTCCTGCGAYATTTTTCTTCTTCCAGCCAAGTTATGCATGTCTACGTTGCATTTGTCGCGGTGATATCAATTTTGATAATCTTCACTTCATACACTGCGATAATGATCAAGATAATTGCTTTCCCAAAAATCAATGCCAGTATCGTGATGAAAAATAATTTGAAATTAACGAAGACGTTGATGATGACAACCTTGGTGGCACTGATAACCTGGGTACCATCTTCTATCATTTTATCCAGAACTGGGAAAGGTTATTTCTCGTATGACATAGGCCTGGCATTTGAAATGTTGATATACGGCAACTCCTTTGTTAATCTATTAGTCTACACAATTCGAATGCCACAGTTTCGTCGAGAATTATACATGATGATAAAGTGCAAGAAAATCAATAAAATAGACACTCGCGACAATGGATCGGCAAAGAACGATATAAAACCAACGTCACCCGACTGAAGACAATGCATAGCCGTCAGACGGTTTTCCCTAATAAACTTCACTGATTGGACTATAGAAAAAACGTTCAACAATTGATAGCCTCCAGGAATGAATTGTGATGGTTTTTTATTGCATTTTAATTTCAAATACTACATCATAAAATTGCTGAATTTTTTTAAATATTTCTCTAAAGTGTGATCAAAATCATGAAAGTCGTTTTTAAACAAAATTAATAAAAATTCTATTTAAATTGGAGTGTAAATAAACAAAACAGTTAAATGGATTTTGTTTTAGTGAACACTACTAAGAAAGTGTCATTGCAGCCTCAAATCATCACAATATCAAGTTGTAAATAGCCCTTTGAAATAATGCCGATTAAGATGKATTGTAAATAAACAGGACAATTAAGTATATTTTATATTGAAAACTGCTACGAAACTTACATAGTTATACTGGCATTAGTCAGTCGGAGCTTCAAAGCAGCACAAGTTGTTTTTTGTTTTCAAAGGCGGAAACTCATGTAAGTGTTTTTATATAAACATAAAAAAGCCAATGTGTTCCCAGCTTGACGGCCAACTTGTAAGTTTTCTCTTGACTTTGTCAACAGAAACTAATCGATATTTGATCAAATAAATGGTTGTAGGTTGGTCTATTCATTACGATGTAAGCGCTACTTCAACCTAAAAGTTATTATTTACGTCGAGCTTTCGGCTCATTGCTTTTATGTTGTTTTGTAAAATGTAACGTTTTTTATTCAGTCTTGATAATGGCTCGGTGAGCCGAAAGCTCGACGAAAATAAATAACTTTTAGGTTGAAGTA